TGGTGAATCCTCTCACCCTCCTGCGCATCTGACCTGTACCCCGGTTCTTGTATAAAAATAAATAAATCTTTAAAAAAAAAAAAAAAAAAAGAATTTCTCCCAAACTCTGGTTGGGGAGGGGTGCTCTCAAGTCCTGTGCTACACCCCCACTCAGCCCTTAACTCCTCCTCCAGGCCCCCTTCCCCAGCTGAAGTCCCTAGGACAATGGGAGCCCCCCAGAAAGCCTTGTAGCCCATAGCTATAGCCTGAGACCTGAGCAAGCCAATTGTCTGGGATTGGGTCTCCGTTTTTGTTTTGTTGTTTTTAAGATTTCTTTTTTTTTTATAGAGGCATGTTTTTATTTATTTATTTATTATATTTGTTTGTTTGTTTTGTTTATACAAGCACTGGGTACAGTCAGAAGCGCGGGAGGGTGAGAGAATTCACCAGAGCCAGAGCAGGGAGCAGAGCAGGCAGAAGGACTGAAGTACACTGCTGAGGGGAGCAGCGGGTGGCAGGAGAGGTCTGCGCGCCATGTGGGACCCTCCTCCGGTGGCCGGGGAGCAGCCGGGGATCGAACCGGTGCCGCAGAGGCCGCGGGCAGCTTCGCAACCCAGCGCTCAACCGCTGCGCCACCGGGGAGGCCCTAAGATTTCTTTATTGGGCCTCCTTGGTGGTGCAAGGGGTTAAGACACAACCTATGAAGCTGTCTGCAGCCTCTGCAGCATGAGTTCGATCCCCAGCCAGGGAGCTACACACATGACACAGCAGACCTCTCCTGACTCGCCCACTGCTCCCCTCAGCAGTGTACTTTGGTCAATCTGCCTGTTCTGTTCCCCACTCTGTCTCTGGTGAATCCTCTCACCCCCCACACCTCTGGCCTGTGCACCAGCTCTTGTATGCATAAATAAATAAATCTTAAAAAAAAAAAAAAGATTTATTTATTTACGCATACAAGAACTGGGGTGTAGGCCAGAGTTGCGGTGGGGGGGCTGAGATGTTTCACCAGAGACAGAGTGGGGAGCAGAACAGGGGGATTCACTGAAATACACTGCTGGGGGGAGCAGAGGGCGAGGCAGAAGAGGTATGCTGTGCCATGTGGGTAGCTCCCTGGCTGGGGATTGAACTCATGGTGTGCCGCAGTGGCTGGCCATAGCTTGATAGTGCTGAGCCTTCAACCTCTGCACTACAAGGGAGGCCCCTGGGTCCCCTTTTTGGGTGATTAAAACTGCATGAGCGAATGGGCCTCAGTGAGACCTCCTGGTCCTTCCCTGGGGAATGGGCCCTGATATCCTTCCCTGGTTAGGAAAGGTGGGCTTCTAAAGCCCTGAATTGACTAAGGGTGGGGATGCTGCATAAAATCCCACCTTTGGGCCACCCCAAAGGGTTAAGACCCTTTTTAGTCTCGGGTATGACTGTTCATAACTAGGAGGCACTGATTGCTTGGGGTACTAGATGAGGCACAGTTGCAGCTGGAGACTGGGAGGGAGGCTGGAAAGGGAGAGTGTGGTGAGTCCGTTAGGGGCAATAGATGCATGTGAGGTCTGGGCACTAGAGACCTGTCGTCCACACTGACTGGCTTTTTTTTTTTTTTTAAAGATTGATTGATTGATTGATTGATTGATTGATTGATTGATTTATACAAGCACTGGGTACAGTCAGAAGCGCGGGAGGGTGAGAGAATTCACCAGAGCCAGAGCAGGGAGCAGAGCAGGCAGAGGGACCGAGGTACACTGCTGAGGGGAGCAGCGGGCGGCAGGAGAGGCCTGCACGCCATGTGGGACCCTCACCCGGTGGCCGGGGATCGAACCGGCACTGCAGAGGCTGCGGGCAGCTTCGCAACCCAGTGCTCAACCGCTGCGCCACCAGGGAGGCCCCACACTGACCGGCTTCATTCCTAGAATGGGTGTGTTGAGGCGCCATCAGATAGGAATGGGTGCTCCCCTCTGGTTCCAACCAGAGCCCTCCACGTACCACCGGTCCTGCAGGCAGGAGTTGGGGAAATGGCAGCCTGTGCCGAGGGTGTATGAGAGGACCACAGCGAGTGCTAGAGTGGAAAGAAGTCAGGGGCAAGTCAAACTAGAGGACAGGACAGGACAAAGGGCATGGGCATGCCGCAGGCCTCAACACCCTTCAGGGATTGTGAGGAGCCCAGCAATTGGTGGTCAGGAAATGGCAGCTGCCTCTTTTGGGGAAGCAGTACTCTTCTGTGCCCCTGACCATGTTCTGGGGAGTCAGAACCTGTCCAGAGGGCTGCCTGAGTGTGTGGCTGGAGCCCCAGAGATTCTTCCCGTGAGCTGTATGACTGAGGGAGGTGGCACACAGTAGGTGCTCAGGCAGCCTGGGACGACGCATGGATGCATTTCTCTAGGTGTCAAGAACAAGGTCCTCCAAATGTCTGGAGGTGCTGGATTCAAGCAGGGCAGACGGTGGAGTGTGGAATTCTGATCTCTCCCTGTGCAGGCCCTGCCTTCCTCCTTCCTACACAGCCCTCCCCCTTATCCCTCCATCTAGGCCAGTCCCTGCTCCTTCCGGCAGCAAACATGAGCTTTGCAGAAACTTGTCCTCAGATTAAAGCTTAAACCACCATCTCAGGAGAGGGGGCGGGGAGGCCAGCCAGGCCACATGTGGAAGGTGTAGCAGGCCAGGGAGGAGGCCTCTCTCTCTCCACCCCAAAATCTCAGGTCAGATAGGGAAAGACAAGGGAACCCTGGGTGCTATATAGCAGCACCCGAAGTCACCCAGCCAGGTCTCCATCTTCTCTCCCCTGGATATCCATAGTTTCATTTCTGGCCATGCCAAGAGTCAGAGGAATCCTTTAAAACATTAAATCAGGGCCTCCCTGGTGGCACAAGGGTTTAAGATGCAACCTATGAAGCAATCTGCAGCCATTGCAGCACAAGTTCGATCCCCAGCCAGGGAGCAACTCACATGGCACAGCAGACCTCTCCTGACTCTCCCGCTGCTCCCCTCAGCAGTGTATTTCAGTAGATCTGCCTGTTCTGCTCCCTACTCTGTCTCTGGTGAATCCTCTCACCCCCACTCCTCTGGCCTATACCCCAGTTCTTGTATGCCTAAATAAATATTTTTTTAAAAAAAAGTTAAATCAGAACTATGCCATCTTCTTTGCCCTTAAGCCAGTTAGTCAGACTCTACACCCAAGACAAGGCTGCCCAGGTTGCTACTCCTCAAGGTCTCAGTATTTCCTTCTGTTAAGAGGGTACACATGGTATTCTAGCCAACGTAAGCCAGATTCTTCTTGGGTTCCATGATAGCATTGGTGGAACGCCCAAGTCTAATGCAGCGTCAGAGGACAGGTGTGGCCAAGGCATCTACTCTATCCAGTTATATATGGAAATCAAACCCTCCTAGAACAGGAAGGTGCCCTATCCCGGGGTAGGAGCATGAGCTAGCTTCACTGCTCTGACAATCACAGCCAGGGAGCAGAGGCTCGTCATTCGGCATGGAGATGCTTAGCAAACACCAGATTTGCCAGGGCAGGCCCAGCTCCACACTGCCTGGTATCAACTTTGCTGCCCAGCCCTCCCCCAAAGCAAAGGTCATGAGCTGTAAAGGGGAGATTCTCTGGAGGGGGCATTCCTCCTTGGCCAGTTCCAATGCTGCTGTGCCACAGAGGCCTTGCAGCCCAGCATAGGCGTCAATGCTGCCAAGTTCCTCCATGACCTGGTTCAGGAGGATGGAGACTCACTCAGACGGAGGGCTCTGTCCTGATGACTCTGATCTGAGGGCACAAACAGTAACCTCATAGCGCAGCCATTCCATGGGGATGACCTGGCTCTAGACTTGAGGAAGAAAGCCATGGTGGCAGAGTGCTTAAGGTCTGTCCACAAGTTCCTCCCCCTTCCGGGCCCTACTTTCATCTGGGCCCTACTTTCCTGCCAGGAGTGAGGGACCAGGGGAGGCCACGCCAAGGCTGTCACGAAAGGGACATTCCCCAGTCATTTGGAACTAAGTAAGTCCAGATCCCAGCTTGCAGGGCTGACTGTGGGACCCTCCTTGGCCTCCCTTCCCCCAGGACTGTGGCCACATTGACACATGGAGGGAGTGTGTGCAGCAGATGTGGGCGTGGGAGGCAGCCAGAAACCCCATAGGATCAGAGCCCGTCACCATCAGCTTTGTAGGAGAGCTGCCCAGCTCTGTAGCATTGATGTACAACTCTGCCTAAGGCACCATGTCTGGCCCTGGGGGCTCACGGCTGGAGCTTCACTACCTTTTAAGTCAAGGTAGAGTCTACCTTGCATCTTTGCTGCTGCAGCCTGAGCAACTTTCCAAACTCACTGCCAGTCCATCTCTCAAGTAGAGGAAGAAACAGAAAATGAGCATCCCAGGGCCTCCCTGGTGGTGCAAGGGGTTAAGTCTCAGCACTATGAAACTATCCACAGCCACTGCAGCGCTATTTTGATCCCTGGCCAGGGAGCTACCCACATGGCACAACAGACCTCTCCTGACTCACCTGCTGCTCCCCTCAGCAGTGTATTTCAGTGGATCTGCTTGTTCTGCTCCCCACTCTGTCTCTGGTGAATCCTCTCAATCCCCACACTTCTGGCCTACACCCCAGCTCTTGTATGCATAAATAAAATCAATCATTTTTAAAAAATGAGCACCCATCGGACTCCCCGGTGGCGCAGTGGTTGAGCGCTGGGTTGCGAAGCTGCCCGCAGCCTCTGCAGTGCAGGTTCGATCCCCGGCTGCTCCCCAGCCATCGAAGGAGGGTCCCACCTGGCACGCAGACCTCTCCTGCGGCCCGCTGCTCCCCTCAGCAGTGTACTTCAGTCCTTCTGCCTGCTCTGCTCCCCGCTCTGGCTCTGGTGAATCCTCTCACCCTCCCACGCTTCTGACTGTACCCAGTGCTTGTATAAATAAATAAATAAATAAATCTTTAAAAAAAAAAAATGAGCACCCACCCCTGCCCCATCCTTAGTGCCAAGAAAATGTGACCAGGGGCCCCAAGATAAGGGTGGAAAGCAGTTCCCAGATCCCAATACAGAGGGGCCCTGGGCTGAGCTCCCCTCCCATTTAGTCAGTCAGGAATCACCTAGGTGTACCAGTCTCCATTCTTGGTGCTGGGGAAGCAGCGGTAGACAAAACAAACAGTTCCTGTCCTCTTGGAGCGGAGAGTCAAGCATGGTGGGAAAGAGACTACAAACAGCAAACATAAAAAGAAGTAAATGAGGCCTCCCTGGTGGCACAAGGGTTAAAGACACAGCACTATCAAGATATTGCCAGCCAGTGCAGCACGACTTTGATCCCTGTCAGCCAAGGAGCAATGCACATGGTGCAGCAGACCTCTCCTGCCTTGCCCGCTGCTCCCCTCATCAGGGTATTTCAGTCAGTCTGCCTGTTCTGCTCCCCACTCTGTCTCTGGTGAATCCTCTCACCCCTGCACCTCTGGTCTACATCCCAGTTCTTGTATGTATAAATAAATAAATCTTTGGGGGAAAAAAGATCTGAAGGCAGTGAGGAAGAAGCTATGTAGATGCCTCTGGGAAGGGAATCCAGGTAAAGGGAACAGTCATTGCAAAAACCTGGAGGTCTGAATGTGCATTGTTGGGGAGGAAGAATGAGAACGTAGCTAGGACCATGAGGACTTGAGTCAGAGAGTTGGGAAGGAGAATGAGGGGTGATGGCCACTGTAAGGACTTAGCTGTGACTTTCAACAAAATAGGAGCCATTGAGAGCTTTGAGCAAGAGAGAGAGATAACGGGGCTTCCGTTTTAATGAGGTGCCACTAGGTCCAGGTTGACTAGAATGTAGGAGGCCAGGGCAGAAGCTGGGCACTCCTATTCTCGCCAGGGGAGAGAAAAGGTTGCCTGTGGAGGTGGCAGCTGCATATGCAATGGCTGCAGAGATGGTGGGCAGGGGGAGGGTGGAAAATGGTCATTTGTTATTTTGCAGGTTGAGTTCAAAAGTATTTGCTGATAATTTGAATATAGATGTAAGAGAGAGTCTGGTTGATTCTAAGGCTTTTTGACCTGAGCAGCTAGAAGGATGGAGTTGCCCCAACCCAATTGAGCAGGCCCAAGACTGCCTGATTGGGGGTGTGTGTGTGGGTGGGGGGGGTGTGTCCCAGGTTGGATTCTAGATCTGAGTTATTTCCCACAGAGACTCTGTCTCCTAACTGGGCTCCACCTCCCATTCTCCACCCCAGTGCCCAGGCATCTAGAGTCAAGGCATCTTCCAGGGGGACAGAGGAAACCCACAGTTCCTATTCCAACTTTTAGTGAGAGTCCTTTCTGGAACCAGATAAGGACTGACTTCTAGGGTCAAGACCTAGGCTCCCCAGCAGGATCTGGGCAGGCCCAAGTGGCTAAGGGACTGCTGTCTGGCCTCTTGTCTAAACAGGATATGCTCAGGCTGGCTGGCAGTCATGGGTCACTTGGAAGTCAGCCAAGCTTGGGCTCACTAGACCCCTACCTCCCTCACCAGCCCCACCCCCCCACGAATACAGACAGCATGAGGTAACATGTGAGGATCTCAGAACCCTGTGTACCCCTTTCTTGTTCACCCTGAGCCCACATGAAAAGCAGTTCCTGGTACATCTGTTTGGGGACTAGCTGGGAGAATGCAGAAGGGCCTGGGTCCCAGACAGTATGTTTTAGTGCCTCAGAATGGGGTACAGGACCTGTAGGGTCCCAAGGAAACTCCTGACCCAATCATTAGGATTGGCTTCCTGGGAGGTAATATCTTCCCAGAGGCCTGAAGTTTCTAGAAAGAAATAGAAAAGGCATTCCAGGCACAGGGGAACAGTATATGCTAAGACCTAGGGAAGAGAGAATGTGTAGAGCTCCCTGTGGAGGCTTGTGATACCTGTTGGTCTCACATGTGGCAGGATGAGGCACCCTCAAGAAGGGAGGCCAGCCCTTTGCACACAAAAAACTGGACAATGTTTGTGGGTGAAGGAGGTGGCCAAGTATTCTGGTAGAGAGGAAACACAGGATTTACACTGGCACTGGAGTCTAGGAAGAGCATTCCTGGTAGAGGGGACCAACAGCAGAAAGGGCCTGGAGGCAGCTTCGGGGAGCAGCCAGGGAGGTGGGCTGTTCCAGCTTTTGATCGGCTCAGAGCCAGCCCCTGGAGCAGGCTGGGCAGGAGAAGGCTGAGCAGATCTTCATCCTCAGCTTGGGCTGGGAGTAACTCCTCACTGCCATCCCCCTCCTAGTGGTGCCTGAGCAGGTCACCAGGCATCCCCTCCCTGGCCCCCTTTCTAACACTCCCCCTCTCTGAGATCCAGTTCCGGGTGGGTGGGGGCTGGGCCACAGAGCAGGCAGCGCCTGGGGCAGGGGAGATGAGAAAACCAGAAAGTGGGGAAACCTGAGCCAGCAATGCTGGGGCTGGGCGGGCCAGGGCTTGCTTAGCCTGCTAGGCCCGGGAAACAGGTTCCCCAGAGACCCGGCCAGAGAAGGGAGTGCTGGTTTAGTCACCACCTTCATCCAGGGGCACGGCTGGTCTCTGAGGCCCAGGCCTTCAGAGTCCAGTCTTCCAGATGTAGAGGCAGGAAAGGCAGAGTCTCTCAGGTTACCAGTATTGCAGCCTTCCCTTTCTTCACGCCAGGTAGGCCAGACAGAGGTCGATGGGGTGTACAGACAGAGCATAGACAGGCAGCAGCACCCCAGGACCTAGTCTGGAAGAGCCTGAAGGAAGAGAAACATTCATGAGCACTGCCAGAAACAAAGAATGGGCCAGGTCAAAGGGCTGGGGGTGCTGGGGGAGGAGGCTTTCAAAGCTGTCTTGCCTGCTTGTCAGCACCCACCCCTTGGGTGGGGGCTGGGACAAAGAGGGCCAAAGGCCTCCCAATTATGACCCCACTGTTGGGCTTTGTGATGCCTCTGAAGCCCCAGAGCTCAGGGAAACCTGGTTATGAGCCCAAGGCTACAGTCAGGATGTCGCTCTGGGGCTTATCATGTAGGCATTCAACTAGCCTGGGAAGGAAGGAGGTTCTGATCTAGGGGGACCCCAGAAGTATATCAGTGGCTTAACTCCCCACTTGTGTGTCAAAACTGGCACTGGAGTGGCAATAGGAGAGCTGGAGAAGAGGCACTCACTGGGACCTGAGTGTCCCAGGGAGGAGGGGGGAGTCTGGCTCATGGGAAGTCACCCTGGCCTGGCTGTTCCCTTTGGGTTACCCCAAGGGTATCCTGGTGGGTTCTCAGGTGGGGCAGCACAGCTGAGTGGGGAAGACAGGTCTCTGGGTGGCAGGGAGAGCTAGGGGACTAGGGCATTGTTGAGGCACCAGGCAGCAAGGACAGGGAGTTAGCTCTCTGGTCTCTTGGCTCCTGTTCCCTGTTGGATCTGGTGCTGCAGGGATTTTCTCTTTTTCATTCAATAAAGATTTCTTGACTCCATAAGTGCCACGTGGGGCTCCAGCACTCATTGCCAGCCCTTGGTTCCATGCGAACCTCATGGCTCGGCCCTTTCCCTCTGAGCATTCCCACAGGATGTGCTTCTGAGGATTACGAAGGACCTGGGGTAAATAACCAGAAACCCCATTGGCAGGCAGGGCCTCCCAACCTAGTGTCCAGGGCTGGTTTCAAGAGGTCTTTGGACCCCTGAAATTGAAGGCAAAATTGTGGAAGGCTCTCTAACATTCTTCCCAAACAATATGGTATATATACTACTATATATCTAACAACATGTGTAATGATTCAAAATTCCCCGCCCAGCAGGACGCTGGGCAAGGGTGTGGAGTGCATTCACTGTAGCAGTGACACTTGTTTTTATTTACATTGGTTGGTTATTCAGCCTTCCCAGGTTGTTTAGGAGATCGTTGGTATGCCACTGTGTGCAGCCAGGCTCAGCTCCCTCTGTCCCCTTCCCCTGGCTCCCTGCCATGGAAGAAGGCCCTCTCTGTGCTGGGCCTAGTCTGGGTGTCTGAGTGGAGTTCTCTGGACAAGTCAATTGAGTTTCTCTCCTTCCCAGACAGCACTCTGGAGTCTTTGGCAAGTGTTAGCTTTTCTGCTTTAGTGACCATGATGATATCATGCTGGGCTGGTGACAGAGGTGGCCAGGCTTTGAGAAGCCTGGGGCTGGGGTTGGGGTGGGAGAAGGGGTGGTGAGGGTGGCGTAAACTGCTTTGATGGTGGTGGTGCAGTGGTGGTGGCTCAGGGGTGACAGAGCTACAGAAGAGTAGGGACGGGGGACCTGTCCTTGCAAACACAACTTCAGGCTGGGGTTTGCTCTCTGCAAATATCCAGCCCCTGCTAGAGGCATGTGCCCCAAGTGCAGGTGAGGACACCCTCAGCGGACTAATGCCCACCCCACACAGCCATTCAGCCAGCCAGTGGGTCAGAGAGGGAGGCTTTCTCCAGGGGGTCCAGGCAGCCAGGAAGGGGGGTGTGGAAGAGGGGAAGTAGAGTGGGAAGAGGAAGAGAGAAAGGAGTGGGGAGAAACGGAGCCGGAGGAGAAGGAAGGAGGTGAGGAGGTGGGAGAAGGGAGGAGAGGAGAGGAAGGAGAGGGAAGAGGAGAGGGGCAAAGAAGGAGCGACTGGGGAGAGACAGCGGGAGGCGGGAGGGGACAAAGAGGGCCTGTGCCCCTGGGGACCTCAGTAGAGCCTGGTGCAGGGCTGAGCCTGTGGCACCGGCTGGCGAGGCCCCGGCCTTGGAGGTTGGGTGGAGGGCCCCTTCCTGGGGTCAAGGTGGGCACCTTGCTCGGTCACTGGCTCCTGTGGTCATCACAAGGCCATTTGAAAGCAAATGCCCCTTTTAGGACATGCAGTAACTGTGCAGAGAGGCCCAGTCTATCTGACCTCTTTGAGGTGGAGAGCTGTAATGGAGGGGTCTCTGGGGCTGCGGTCTTGAAGTAACGGGGAGAGAGGGCATCATCGGAAGCCCTTGGTCGGCTGGACAAAGCTGTGAAGCTCAGCTGCCGCGGCCTGGCCTGGTTTGGAGGCAGCGGGCAGGTCCAGGGGTGCCAGCCGTCCCAGGGGCTGCACCGCCACCTGCTGAGCGACGAGGGCAGTCCTGGGTCCTGAGCTGCCGGTCTCACGCGCGGGGCCAGGCGCCGCCGGCAGCTGGAGGGAAGGAGGGACACCGCAGGGGGTGCGCAGGTGAGCGCAGGCTCGTTGCTCCCGGGCGCGCCCGCCCTTCCCGCCAGGGAGTTGAGTGCCGGGGTAAACACCCGGCGCGGTGTGCGCGGTGTATCCACGGAGAGACAAAGCCAGGGCGGGGCGGGGGCGCCGCCCGCAAAGCCGGGGCGGGGGCGCGGGGTGCAGACTGGACTCCCCCGGCGCGGGCCGTCGCACGGCCCGGGTCGGAGCCGGGTGCCCAGCCCGCGGACAGGTGGAGCGGGGGCGGGGCGGTGGCCGGGCGGGTCCCGCCCCGGGGGTGGGGCCGGGCGGGGCGGGCGGGGCGGGGCCGTGCTATGCAAATGTCGCCCACGGGCGGCCAATTGCCGGCGCTCCCCGCGCGGCTCCGAGCGCCCCGTCCCGCCGGCGGCCGCGAGAGCAGAGCGAGCGAGGGGGCGAGCGAACCGCCGCGGTCCTGCGAGCCCCGAGCGCAGCGCAGCGCAGGGCCAGGGCGCGCCTCGAGGAGCGGCGCAACCCGGCGCGGCCCCGGCCCCGGCCCGGCAGCCCGGCGAGCACCGCGCCATCGGGCCGAGCCCAGCGCTGCGCCCCGAAGACAAGCGCGCGCCGTCGCCGTCGCCCGCGCCCGGCGCCGGGGAATGCGCCCTCGGCGCGCCGGCCAGGGGGCGCCCGCAGCCCACCCGGGGGGAGGCGGCCCCGAGCGCCCCTGAACCTTCCCATGGCCCGGGCTAGGGCCCGGGGCCTCGACTGCTGACGCGCCCGCAGCCCGCGGAGCCCGTGAAGCCCGGGCCGCGGCGCCGACCCCGACTCAGGCGCAGCGGCGAGAGGGCGCGGGCAGGGCCATGGCCCCGGGGGGCCGCTAGGACGGGCCGGCCCAACCCCGCGCCGCTCCGCCACCGCCGCCGCCGCCCGGGCGCCCAGGCCCCGCCGCCGCGAAGAGGTGAGTGCGGCGGGAACCGGGAGGGAGCGGCGGGCGGCCGGGCCACCCCGCGATCCCTCTGGGACCCGCGGCACTGCAACTCTGCGGAAGTGTCCGGGGCGCGGCGCGGGGGGCGCGGGGCTCCGGGAGCCGGGGGCTGCCCGCGGATGCAGGGGCGACCGGGCTGGAGTGGCTGCTGTACCTGTCCCGGCCGCCCGGACTCTTAGCTCCATGGCGACCAGGGGGGTGTGTGGATGGTGTGGCCTGCGGGATCACCAGTGTGCAAAGCAACTTTTCCCGTAAGCTTCTCAGTAGGTGGGTGCTTCCATGCACCCTCATCCCCACGCTCCTGGAGCAGGAGTCCCTGTGCCCCTTCTCCTAGTTCAGCTCTCTCACTCTAGGGCCTCAGGCGGGGCTCTTCCCTGGGGTAGGTGCGCCCGTGCTGCCTCAGTGTCCCGATCTGAGGGTTGGATGGCTAATCCAAGGAGGCACTATGCTGGTGGTCCCCACGTGGAGGGTCTCCCAGAGCCACAGGGCCAGACCATGGGCAGCCAGAGGCAAGGCTTTTCTCCCAGCACAGTGCCAGCTGCCCTGACCCCCAGTTACCAGCTTGGGTTTGCTTTTCCAGCAGGGAGCTTTGCCTCAACTGACTGTATGTTGGTGTAGGGGGTTCTGAAGAGCCTGCAGTTAAGCCAGCATTTGGGCAGGCTGGGGCCCCAGTGGTGAAGTGGCCAAGGGACACTAGGGGCTTGAAGGGCTCACCTAGAGCAGGAGGGACCAAGAGTGTGTCAAGTGGCTGAGGAATGAGACAGGGCTGACAGGAGGGGTCAGCTGGAGCTCCTAGGACTAGAGGCCTGGCTGGATAAATAACTTCTAATTCTTGAGATGACTGTGTTGCAAATACCAGCCCGGGGACACCTGGGGGAGGAGAGCCAACTGAAAGCACTGGTGTGCCTGTTCACCTGGGAGCGGGGTCAGGCTGGGGATTCCTGTCCTCCTGAATGAACTCAGACTGTTTCTCAGAAGCCCCCTGTCCTAGCTGCAGAGATAGGAAACTGCATCCAAGGGTTGGAGTCTAGTCCCAGTGCAGGAGGTTGGATGGAGCTGGGCCCTTTTCCCAGGTTGCACACGGAGGGTGCTTGGACCAGTGCAGTGTGGTGATCTGGAAGGTTAGGGCAATGGGCATGCCCACCCCTGCTGCTGCCCCTCAGTTCTGAAGGAGCGAGGCCCGGAAATGTGGGGGTTGGAGGGAGAGAAGACCAGCCTCAGGCCCCCTCTGCTCTGGTAGGCTTACCTTGAGGGGGAGGATGGAGCCAACCCCTAGTGACCTTGACTAGGAAACCCCTGACCACGAAAGGGGGGTTTTGAATCCTAGCTGTGCTGGGTGGCTCTGCTTCCTGGTCCGTGGGGTGTTGGGGGAGGGGGACGCCCAGGAGCTAAGAAGGAGCTCTGGCCTGTGTGTGTGGGGGGGTGTTTCTGAGGGGCTGCGAAGGGGGTGGGGTGCTGCTAATAATTTCTTCCCCATGTTCCCCCATGCTCCCGCCCGCCTGCCCCTCCTGCCTCCCTTCTTCTAGGCAGTTCTCAGCTCACAGGAGCCTTCCCCCCTTCCCTGAGGCAGGCTGTTCACCTCCCAGTCCCCCACTCCTAACCTGGAAGGCCTGGATCAGGCTGGACAATTCGACCACCTAGCCCCCCGCCCCACCCCCAGGTGCTTCCAGACCCCCTCGACTGGCCGCCCCTTCCCTGAACCCCTTGCCAGCCCCAGCTCCTCGTTTCTTTGTTCCAGCGTCTCTCCTCCGTCCCTCCCTCTCTCCTCCCTCTCTCTCCTCCCTCCCGCCTGCCTCCCTCCCTTGCTCCCTCCCTGCCAGCCTTTTCCCTTCCTTCTCTGTTCTTCTCCTGGTGGGCTCCCAGGTGGCGGTGGCTGTTTCTCCTCTGTCCACCCACCTGGGCTTCACTGGGGGCTTCCCTGGGGCTGGGGCTGTGTGGATGTATTTAGGGCTGGCGGAGGTGAAGCACTGTAGACATGTCCTCCCTTCCCTCTCTGCCCTCTCCTGCTCCTCTTCCTTCCCTCCTCTTCTCTTCTCCGTCCCCCAGGCTGCCAGAGAGGGTACCTGGACTTGGGCCTGAGGCCCCAACACACTTGAACATCCCCCATCCACCCCTTTAAAGAGTTAAAGCATTGCGGGACACCCCTGCGGGGGCCAGTAAGGCAAGGTCCTCCACTCTCCTGGAAACCTAGGGGGACTCCAGCACTATCCCTGCTGACCCTGACCTTGCCACCAGGAAAATGGTTACAGAGGAAAGGAGGTCACTGGGAGGGAGGTGTGGAGGGAGAAGTAAGTCATCCTGAGACCGCTGATACCTGGGATCAAAACTTTGAGGGACTGTATCTTGGCCTCTCTAAGCTAGGACAGTGTCTCCCAGCTTCCTTGAGCCCCACCCCACTAGCAGGTCAAGTTCTTGAGCAAACATGCTTTTGAGGATGTGTGCAGGCCTGCCAGTGTGGACGTGTGTATAGTCACAACTGTTTAGTGGGGGCCTCCCAGGTGCACCCCAAGGGTGCTGGTGGTTGTACAGCCCTTTCTCCCATCAGCCCCCCTCATCAGAGTCTGCAGTTCAGTCAGCACTAGTTTTGTGCCTCAGCAGACTAGGGGAGGAACTGGTTCTCATTTTCCCCTCCCCCAACCAGTCTCCCCAGGAGGGAAGAGCATCTGTGAGGAGGGATCTTGACTGAACAAGAGGTATGTCAGGCACAGGAGAAGGTGTTTCCACAGAGGGTACCACATGGGGAACCGGCCAGGAAGCAAGAAGCTGCACTTCCTGTCTGAGGAGCTAGGAATGGTTTGCCCTGGAAAGAGGCATGGCCTGTGGGAGGTGGGTCAGGGTGGGCATCAGGGCTGTCTTGTGCAGCCTGGCGGATGTGGAGCCTGGGTCTTCCCTCGGCATGTTAGCCGCTGCAGGGCGTCACTGTCGCCCTCACCTCCACCCCAGCCTTCTGGAAATGGGCTGGGGTCCTGTCTCCTTTGGGAGAAAGGAATAGATAGGCCAGGCCTGGGAGAGGGGACTCATGTAGACATTCTTAGTGGCCCCCCTACCCTGTGCTCTAATGGGGGGGGTAGGGAGTTGGCGCTGTTTTTTGCCGGGAGGGAGCAATATGTTCCAACAACTGGTGCTGAGCTTCGTTTGCCCAACAGCCAGCCTGCCTGGGGAGACAATATTTGAAAAACATAGTATGTAAACTTGGACCTGCTGGGGGTGTGAGAGTTGTGCAGGGGACACTGAGGGGGCATTGAGACCTGCGCAGGCCCACTGGCCTTCCTTGCACCCCTTCTTAGTCCTCTAGAGGCAGAGCTCTGACTTTTCCTGGCAGGAAGTCCTTCAGTATGTCTTACCTGGATCCCTCCTGCTGTGATTTCAGTAAAAGTAGTCTGTGCTATTCTCTGCTGCTCCTTTTCTGGCTGGTGCTGTCTCTTGTCCACTGTGGGCTGGCTAGGTGTATCCCATTCACCCCCCTCACTCTCTCCCCTGCCCTCCATCCCAATAGTCAGGTTTAGATTTCCCTGTTCTGGAAGGAGAGATTTGGCCAAAGCAGGCAGGGTTGGATCACTTCTTCCCCTGTTTTTTTAGGTGGGAGGGAAAGGAATAGTTTGCCTCGCTAGAGGTGGGTTAGAGGTGGGTGCCTGGACGTGAACCTGTGAGGAACTAGAGCGGCCCTGGGACCACCTGCTTCAGCTGGGCCTGTGAATGGAATTCAGGAGCTGTGGGAGCAGTGCATCTCCAGTGACTCCTGACAACTCTGGTGACCCTAGGCTGCACCTGGTTCCTTGTTCTCCAGGCTGTTGGTTACATCTCCCCAGACAAAGGCAGGGCCAAGAAAGTATGTGAGATTTGTCCACTGGGGCATTCACGTCCTGAGGCTGAGGGTGTGAGCAAGGATATACCCATCATTCCTTTAGTCCAGATAGGGAAACTGAGATACCTTGGGCAGAATTATGCAAGGGAAATGTTGGGAAGATGATGCCCCTGCCTTGCCACACACATTCTAATCTTGGTTCCCTCTCCCAGGTGTCCAGACAGCCGAGCCAGTTTCCTGGGCCCTAGGCCCCTCCCACAATGCCTTTCGCTGGTCTTCTCCTCTGGGCTTCCCTACTGACTGGGGCCTGGCCAGCTACCCCCACCCAGGACCACCTCCTGGCTACGCCCCGTGTCCGGCTCTCTTTCAAAGGTAAGAGGTTGCTTTGTTCCCCAGCACCATCCTCTGTTCACTGCACGTCATCCTCTGTTCACCTCACGTCATCCTCTGTTGCACAAGAGAGAGAGAAGATGTCAGGGGGGAAAAGGACAAATTGTATGGCCAAATGAGTCATCCTAGGGGGTGGGAGCAGGGCCATAGAGGAGGTGGGGACTTGCTGAGAAAGGCTGGAGACTGGACCACTTAAACATTCTGGGGAAGGGCCTTGAGTCTGGGCACCTTCTAGACAGAATGTGGGGTCTTAGGTTGGGTGGCCTAAGGTCTGCAGAGTGTCTCTCTGTGTGCGGTAGATAATTGGGGATATGGAGTTGTCAGTCATTCCAAACATATTTGTGGAGCCCCTTCCTTGCCAATGTTTTGCATCTGGTCCTGGATGGTCCGTGGGGAGGTGGGACAATGGGGCAGATGTTGAGACCTCAGGAAATTGGAGGAGCAGGACCTATGTAAGTGCTTAAGGAACCTTCTGGGGTTCCTTAAGGAACGGGGGAAGGCTCTCTTGGCTGTGACTTGAGGGCAGGTCCCCTGAGTTCAGAGAGAGCGTGTGCTATTATAAGAGGTCTGAACTCCTGAGATCCCCAATGAGCTCTCTTTTTTGGAAGTCATTGGAAGGTTTTAATGATGAGTTGGGGTTTGCAGAGTGAGAAGCTGGTCCCCTAGTTCCATCACCTCTGCACCTAACCCACTGGGCAGGTGAACACACACACATTTACTCGAGAATATAGGTGGCTCATTTGCTAGCCACTTCCTTGGAGGTGTTTGTGATCAGAGGAGTCGACTCTCAGCCCAAGGGAAGGAGCAGTGTCCATGCTGGGGCCTGGGACACCTAGGGACATGGCTGAGTTTGCAGCCTTGGCCCTCCTCTGGCCAGATGTCACTTTGTCCAACTCCCTGCCCTGGGTGGGGCCAACTTAGCCCTGACTGGCCAGATTTCCGAATACATATGTGGGGGTGAAAGGCTGGGCTGACCTTTCCTTCCTTAGGCTTGATTACAGCCCAGCCCACAACGAACCATGTTCCCATGTCAATCCAGAAATGGGCAGGAGGGTTGATAGGTTTGAGTTGTAAAAGTACAGCTCCTCTCCTAGGTCTAGGAAGGTGACATATTTATTCTGCAACCTCCACCCTTCCCTGGCGGAATGGCTCAGAGTAGATCAATAGATCTTGAATGGGCCCGATCCCCACTCTCACCCCCTTCTAAGCCCAAGGTGCCAGCAGTGGGAGTAGAGCCTTCCCTTCCCCCACACCCTTGGGACACGGAGCCCAGACATCCACTCTGGGTATTTTTGTCATTACCCTGGAGACCCATGAGGGGAAGCAGGAAGGCCCAGACATAAGAAGGTCCTCTGTTTGATTCTTCTAAACCTTTGCAGAACTCCAGGGGCAAAGGGGCAAAGACTTTCGTTCCTGTTTTCCAGAGAGAGAAACCGAGGCTCAGGCAAGGGCAGAACCAAGGTCAGGTAGGAGGCAGAGCGGCCAGAAATAGAACCCTGGTGTCCTGGCCTTGTCGATGCCGACACCCACATTAGTCAGGTCGATTCCCTCTCAATTAGCTCTGAAGCCGACACCCGCAGTGACGAAAAGCCCAGCTCCTGGCAGCCAGCCTGCAGTGCTGACTGCTGTGGCAGTCTGGGTGGGGCTGCAGGATGCCTGGGGCCACCCCATCCCCTGGCCTCTGTGCCTTTGCGTGAGCAGGTTGCCCTGCCCTGAGTGACCTTTCCTGCTCCTCACTTGATCTCATGTCCTTGTTTAACACTTTGATGTCGCTTCAGTTTAGAAGATACTTGAGAACCTACTATGTGCCAGGTCCCATGCTGAGTACTGGGGACTCTGCGGTGAATAAGATGTGGTACTCATAGTCAACTTGGCTGAAAAGACAATGAGCACCCAACTGGTCAGTGTCCCCCTGGAAGCCTGGCACTTATTTTGCACCAGCCCTGTGTGTCCCCCAAGCTGGGTGGGCTCAGCCAGATCAGGTATATGAAGTGGCCCTCAGTGAGAATGCAGAGCACCACCTGCAGATACTAGAGACCTGCAGGCAGTCCAGAGACTGGGAGAGAGGGCTGCTCCTGGGCACACACGAAGGCCCAGGGGGCGTTACTCCCAGAACTAGTGGTCACTCTGGCTGCATGTTATGGTTTCTTCCTCTGTGCCTGAGGTGGATGTCGCACCTGGCACACCAGCCCTCAGGGCCTCCTGCCCTGGTCCTGCTTTATTTGGGAGGTGCTCATTCCAGCCTGGTTGGGCCAGAGGGACTGGCATGAGGGGCCACACTGCCTAGAACAGATAAGGAACAAAGGCAGGAACTGGGCCAGGCTTGGGCTTATTGCCTGCCCATCCGCCTGGGCACCCCAGCCAGGCCTAAAGCCAACACAGGGTAAGGGAGAAAGTGCCAGAGTTCAGTCAGAGTGGGGGCTCCTGTGCCCCTGCCTTGAGTCTCCATCAGCAGCACAGCCAAGGTCAGGCAGAAGTAAGGAGTCAAGTGAGGAAGATTTCCAGGAACAGGCAAAGTATTCTTTAGTTCCTAGCTCTTGAAAGCTTGTGGGTTCTTGGACTAGAGAGCCTGGGTCCTCTTTCCTCCACCCCTCCTTTCCTGGGCCTGGAGTCCCCTCAACTGTAGTCAAGTCTGGGAGGGAAAGCCTCCCTTCCCCCGGTCTGAGCTGGCCCAAGCCCTGGGGCACCACCTCTGACTATGGTAGGGAGGTGTGGAGGGCCTTGCCAGGTCTTTTGTTCTGAGGGAATGTTTACTTTTTCCCAGGAAGCCACCCCCACAATATACACTGCTGCCTGCACTGGCTCTGACCAGGACTTGGGGCCAAGAGATAGGGTGGGGGAAAGGGGTCCTGTGATGACACGAGGTGGCTGTGCTGCTGGGGAAACTGAGGCAGGGGCAGGGAGATGGAGAGAAGATCACCAAACCAGAAGATGGCAGGAAGAGTGAAAATAATAGACAGTGCCTATGATGATAACTGAATGGTGATAACTCTAGAACCTAGGAGGGGGTCTCCCTGGGTTTGCAGTGAGGCATGAGACCCAGAGGCTTCCCAAATCACTTGGAAGCTGCCTGTCCCAGGACTAAGAGTGAGAGCTGCGTGGAGATGCAGGCATAGCCTTCTCCCAGGAGCTAGGGACAGGCTTCTAGGATCTTGCCATGCCAGCCCCAGCCTTTCCAGCCTCATTTCCCAAGGAAAAGGCTGGGGTTCCCCTGGGGGGGATCTTAAGCTCTCTGCTCACTGAAGCAGCAGCGATGGGGTTTGGTTATTTCCTGTAAATCTAATCTTCCAGCCCCCAGCCCCTCCACTGAGCAAGAGAGGAAAGGTCGCCCATGTCCAGAGTAGCCCTGGGGTTCGGATCCTGTCTGTCAGGGCAAATCTGGAATGCTCGGTGGGGACGAATGTTGTATAGGTAGAAGATGAGTGTGTAGGTGCTGGTCACTGCCCACCACCCTCCTCAGCCCAGCCTCTGAGTCTCTGGGGCTAATGACTCAAAATAGTGCCACCACTTATATGATTTACATTTGGCATCACAAAACCAAAGTCACTGGGTCTCTTAGGAAATGACAAGATTGAGGTTAGGAGGGGTCACGGCCTGTTTACTTCTCCTGAGAGAGGGTGAGTGTGGGTTGGGGTGGAAGTGCTTTAGTGAGCTTTGATGGAGCATTGCCCTACCCCCAGACTTGACTGCACAGGGGTGGAGGTAGGACTGGGGAACTTGAAGACCCACCCTTTCCCCCCACAGACTCGTTGGACAGCCAAGGGAGGCTTGGAGCTTCAGATTGCAGGGGAGGAGGGAAGGCAGGGTGAGGCAGCCAGGCATGACACCAGGGAGCTGGGCAGGGGTCAGGTGGCTGTGACCGCTACGGAGGGATTTGGAGCTAGCAAACTGGAGACGGTGGGTATTTCAGGGTGAGCCAGGATGAAGGAGGAAGGAAGACTCAAACCACGAACTTCAGCCTAGATCCCTGCATTTGGAATCTCAGTTTTCCTGGAAATGAAGCTACCTCATTTCTGAGAGGGGCCTTGGATGTGGCCACTTTGGGAGTTGGGAGGTCCTGGGGGTTGGCTGGCTGTCCATCCCTCAGCTGACCGGGAACTGGCCCTTGAAGAAAGTAGGACAGGTCCTTTTGCTTGCCAAGAACCTGCCTGAGGGCCCAGCCGGAGTCATCGAGGCCAGGGTCTAGGTCCTCAGCTCTGGTTCTAGGTCCAGCCAAGCTTCGGATGGGACCACCACTGACTGGGCCTCCGTTGCACAGGCCTTGTCTCTGGTTCCTTGGCACAATGCCCGCCCCTCCCTCCCTGGCTCCAGCCTCCCTTGGCACTGAGCAGGAGCTGGTGCATGCTCAAGGAGTAAATCATGTTCCTTGGCAGCCCCCGCTGCTTCATAATCGTAAAGAATTTAAAGAGAAACCGCCAAGATAAAAACCTCATCCTGGCCCATAAAGGCATCTTTCACCCTGTGGCTTGGGAGGCAGCAGCCTCAGAGGGGGCTCCTGGCTGCCTGCACCTGTGCGAGCGCTTGCTGGCACTGACCCTCGCTGACCCTTGGGCCCCTAAGGGTGTGGGGGAGAGTGTCGTTAGTGCCAGGGGCTTCTGGCCCCAGAATCCTGAGAGACCTCTAGCTCCTCCCCCAGGGCACTTGGAGTACTTGAACTTGGTAGGAGCAGAGTCAGTAGCGGTGGTTGAGAGGCTCTGCCCCGAGGCAGACAAACCCCTTGTCACTGTGCAGCCCCAGACAAGCGGCATAGCCTTCCAAGCCCCATGCTGTTGGGGATGCCACTGGCCCTGGAAGCGACATCCTGAGGGCTCAGGCAGCTCTGCTTGCATCCTGACCGTGGTAGACCTTCCATCCCTTTATGTTCCTGCTTGCTGCCTTGTCTATGAAACAGTACTGACCTCTTTGTGTTGCCGAGAGGATTGACTTTGTGACTACAGCCCCAGGGAAGGAAGTCTAGTAACTAGGAGCTACACAGACGGGGG